CCCCCCCCCCCCCGACAAATAACCCTGGCTGGGTTTTGAACTGTCTCTTGCAGGGGGTTTTCAATAACTTCCTCCTTAATCAGCTGCCAATGGTGTAACAGGCATCTGGAAGGTGAAACCCAAATAGTTGGCAGTAGGGGTCTCATCAGCAGAGGTTAACAAGCAGTAAATTGGTTTTATGAAGTCCATGTCCTGCTTAATCCTACTCCTTTTCCTCTTATGCAGGGGTTGAGGATTTGGAGAATTTCCATGGCAAAGCCCTTGGTGATAAAGGTAAAGCAGCAGTAGAGCTACTCAAGAAATCAATGAGCAACAGTGGCCCTCATGACCTTCGACCTCAGCCTGTGACTGATACTGTACCAGCAGTTGAACTTGATGCAAAACTATCCGAGCCACCCAACTATAAGATAGGACAAAAGGTACTGAGTTACTCACCTTCTGTCCAATCATTTTTTCGAGGTCCGAAGTTTGGTTTTTTTTGCGGGTTAAAATTGAGTGAATAGCATGATCCATTTTTCACATGACACCAGCAGACGCCCTTACAGGATATTTGTCCCATGCTTAAAATTACATGTGGTCCGAGGAAATATTTCTTGGGGTCAAGAAATTTCTTTTACAATTTGAGATACTGAAATTTTGAAAATGGGAAAGCTAGGGAAAATTGAAACTTATCCATTTTTTCTGCCATCATTGTTTTGTTTGGGGCATGCTCGACGTTTGACTGGCGAAGTACTCGCGCAGGGGTGTCTCCCCACGAAGGAGTATAAATGGGTGTGGGTAATGGATGAATTGGAGGAAACTTGGGTTGGATCATGTTTGTGTCATAAATATTGGATGGCATCTGGTCTTATAGGCCTCTTTGCTTGAGCATCGACTTGTTTTACATTCGACTTAATTTTGAAATGCTTCTTGTTTCCATTCTGTTAGGTTGCTGTTCGTCGAGCCTACGCCAATGCCCTGGTGAAAATTGGCCGCACTTGTGAGCGCGTGCTAGCCTTGGATGGAGACACTAAGAACTCCACTTACTCTCTGAACTACAGGAAGGAATTCCCTGATCGGCACGTGGAGTGCTTTGTGGCTGAGCAAAACATGATTGGCGTTGCCATGGGATTAGCTGCACGTGATCGTGCAATCACTTTCTCCAGCACTTTTGCCGCCTTTTTTACCCGCACGTTTGACCATTTGCGCATGGCATCTGTTTCTCAGACCTCTGCCAACTTCTGTGGATCTCACTGTGGTGTTTCTATTGGTGAGTTGAAGTGCGCTATTTCTTTTCGTTATTCCTTTTACCCTCAAAAGAGACAAGCAACCAATTTCTCCACACGCTAACTTTCCAAGGTCAAAAAGTTAGGTCTTGAGAATTAAGGAAATGATCAGCAATCGGAAGAAGCTCTTAATTGTTAAGAAGTATTTTACAACTCCTTTTGTGCCTAGAAATGAAGAAACGCACGAGCAGTTCATGCGATTTCTCATTCATAATGAATTTTTAAAAAACTGACTTTACGAGCTTTTGCTCATTCCTGGAGTAGTGATAGAAGAGCGTAAGACATGGACTGGCCCGTTTATATTCGTCTCGCAACTTTTCCACAAGCGGCTGCTGATGATATAATTGGCGACCGAGCCCAGAGAAAGGGGCTCAAAGCGAAAATTGCGCATGAGAGCCTGCTCCCAGGCTAAACAGGCAGCGGTAAGCCACCGGTACGGGCTTTGAAAGAAACCATCGCGCTTATAGAAGTGTTAAAATTGGATTACTGAGTTTTTGCCTTGTCTATCTGATCAGGTGTGGATGGTCCCTCCCAGATGGCCTTGGAGGATATTGGCATGTTCCGTTCTATACCCAACTGTGTGGTGTTCTACCCAAGTGATGCTGTCTCGTGTGAACGCGCGGTTGAGCTGGCAGCTAATTACAAGGATATGACCTTCATCCGAGCCACACGAGGCGACACTCCTGTGATTTACGAGAATGAAGAACCATTCGCGGTTGGCAAAGCTAAAGTAAGTTAGATCAACCTTGTCATGTGACCAAGAGATATCCCGTGTAACTTGCCGGGGAGCCACTTAGTCACACACATTCCGAAAATTGCTGGTCAGTGTAAATCCTTTTATTCCAATAAATGACCATCAGATTGGCTCAGGGCGTGAACTGTGTTTCAATTACCAATGGATCAATGTCAGTATCTGGGAAACTGCCCAGCTACCCCTCCCCTAATACTGATATTGATCCCTAGATTGGATGTTGCTGTACATCTGTTCAGGGATAGATTACAAATGACATCAAAAGATGGTGAGAACAAAAAAGTGGCACACGAGGTGAAGCCGAATGTGTCACTGATGTTCCTACCCTATTTTGACGTCTTGTGTTGATCTTTTACTGTACAGACGCACGGCAACATGAAATCTTTTTGTTTTTTTTATGATAAAAAAGCGAAATGTTTTTAAGGGTGACGCCATCTATGCGTCTATCACTCAATAGATCATGGGTAAGAACAAATGAAAATGTGTTTTTAATAATTCAGCTCATCGTAAAGTCATAACTGTTTTTTGACGTAGATCGTCCGCGAGGATGCTCGTGACTCGGTACTTGTTATTGGAGCTGGTGTAACCATGATCGAAGCATTAAAAGCAGCCGATGAACTGAAGAAAGAAGACATTTATATCCGAGTGATGGATCCGTTCACTTTGAAACCTGTTGACAAAGCCGGTATCATTGTACACGCAAAGGCTGTTGGGGGAAAAATATTGACAGTGGAGGACCACTACATTGAAGGTAACTTTGTCCCTACTGCAACAGAATCTGTACAAATTGTCACGTTCTGAAAATATTTCCGTCGTATTTACACCAGGGAGGTCGGGAGTACTCTGCAATCTTCTAGAAAATTTTAATTTTCATGCCAAATGAAATTCATTTTGCTAAGAAAATTTTTGCGCACGGCCTCACTTTGAGAGTGAGGCCGTTAAGGCTTCACACTAGTTTCACAAGGAATTTCTTGTAAGCCTCGACACAATGCACTCACCCCAGTTTTCCTCGTTTGTCCAAACGGGCAAGACACGGACAGTCCAAAGGCGCACAAGAATAATTGACTAGGAGACTCATTGTCTGAACTTGTACGGCTCTGGAAGTAATTTAGAGATTTCCTCTTTTTACGAGATGGTTGATTGTGTCCTTACATCTCTGGGATAAAAACATTGAATATTCTCTTTTTTTCCTTTCCCCAGGTGGTATTGGTGAGACTGTGGCTGCTGCTGTGGCGGAAGAGACTGGTATTACTGTGCGCATGTTGGCCGTGCCCCGCATTCCACGCAGTGGGCCTGGGGACGCCTTGTTGGATCTGTACGGTATCAGCGCGAAGAGCATCATCAAGTCTGTCAAAAGCTTGTAAATGGTTTGGAAACATACGTGATCATGTTGACTTCGCGCTACATCTAAATTGAGCTGGCATTTAGGGAAACCGATAGGAATACATTTTTTAAGTTTTTTTTTTCTCCAATCAATCTCTGAACAATTATCCAATAGCGATTGTTTCGATAGGGATTTTTTTTAGTTTAATTTCTGGTCGACCAAGTTCATTTAGTTCCATTACAAACCGATGAAATGGCTTGAATATAGGACCATTTTCAAATTGAGTTGTAATCCATCAAATTGGGAAGGTAAACATATATTTTTGTGGTAGCCTGGTTAGAAAAGTAATAAATTCATTGATCAGTATTCCAGGTGTCTGAGTTTGGAATTATCTTGCCAAAATTCACAGCTAAACATGTTGCCATGAAATTACCTCTCTCTAGGAAAATTCGTCTCACTGACGTTCTCAAATTCATTAATAATTCATGCTGAGAAAACAAAGGAAATTACAACCGTGAAGGAGGTTTGGATACATGATCTTAATTATCATAAAATTTGGTGAACTTTTGCTTTGATTTTCTCCAAGAATTATGAATGGTTTGAGGAGCTATATCAAACATTGGAGAGGGTGTTTCATCCGCTGCGCCTCGATTTTTCAACCACTTCTCTGTGTTTAGATATCGGATGAAATACTCTTCCTCGTGTTTGATGTAATATATCAGAGGCTTTCATGAGCGCCTCGTTGCACTGGAGAAGCTTGATATCTTTCAGAGGGAGCAAATGCACTGAGTCAACTCGTATTCTGGTATCTATATCCGTTCACAGAGAAAAGGGAATGATCCAGGAGGCTATATATCACCCAATACACTCGAAAAAATTTGTTTAATTCGTTTGTATCTTTTCTATTTACACTCTGCCCAACAGCAGGCTCAGATTTATTTACAACAGTACGTATAAAACACTCGACCTCGGAAACTTTTTGGTCTTTCCACGTCGTAACTGATTTGTTCTGTTCTTTTCTTATTATTTCTTCTTTTTCTTTCCACCCTTTTTCCCTCCCTTCTTTCCTTTTTTATCCCCTTCATCGTCTCCTGCAGCAGCCTTCGCTCGTTTCTTTCCCAGCGGTGTCTTCGCGTACCATGCCTAGGAGGAAATTTCTGAGTAAATAAACTGCGTTTTGATTGTCTCCATTCTGAATGGAGAATTTTAGAATTTTGGAGAAGTCAATTTTACCAAGAGCCTGTCAACAAGAGGGTACTCCCGTCTTGATACGAAAGCTTGTGCGCAAAGGGGGGAGGGGGGCACTGGATACGAAAAGCTTATGCGCAAAGGGGAGGTGGGGGTACTAGATACGAAAAGCTTGTGTGCAAAGGGGGGGAGGGGGGTACTGGATACGAAAAGCTTGTGCGCAAAGGGGGGAGGGGGGTACTGGATACGAAAAGCTTGTGCGCAAAGGGGGAAGGGGGGTACTGGATACGAAAAGCTTATGCGCAAAGGGGGGGAGGGGGGTTCTGGATACGAAAAGTTTGTGCGTAAAGGGGGGAGGGGGGTTCTGGATAGGAAAAGCTTGTGCGCAAAGGGGGGGAGGGGGGTTCTGGATACGACAAGCTTGTGCGCAAACCTTACCTTGAAGGCTTCCTCCTCTTCTTTATAAATCGGATCAATTCGAGCCAAAGGCGCCACAAACTCCACAGCTGACAACGGTCTTTTTGAAAGCTACATTACAAAAAAAAAAAAAACGTTAATGATTCGGACCATAGAAATGTACAGTGTATATGTTTCTGTTAAAGCGAATACAGTCAACGCCTTCGCAGGCACTGTTTGGTCTCGTCACGCAACGCCCTCTCTCCCGTTGGCGGGGAAAAGGGTGGGGGCGTTGCGTGACAAGACCAAACAGTGGCTGAATAGGAGACTAAAATTACAGGGCATAACGCAAAATCACACACACGATCTCACACACCTGTTGAATGCGTCTTTCCGTCAGAATTTGTTGAATTGCTTGTACCATGTGACCTGGAGTGTAGCCGTCGGTAATCTTGGCCAGCGAACTTGCATCTATCGCTTCAGTCACGCGTCCACCACATCGTGTGATCAGCATTTTCCAGAGCACTAAGAATAAAAAAATAAATAAATAAACAGCAAGTGCAAACTGTCAATTTTGGTTCATTTTTCATGTTATTTTGCTACTTAATATAGTTACGTTTCGTGTTTGATTAGCAATAAAAAATGACAAACTATGGTGGTTTTCATTCTTATATTCGAACATGATTTAGAAAGAAGTATGTTTTACTTACAGAACCTCGAAGCATAGTCAGGTCTTGGTATCAGCAAAATCTTTTGGTATAATCCACAAAATGGTTTGATTTCGCCGTCTTTTAACAGTTAAGAAACACAACATCAAGACAGATGAATTAACGATGTTAAATCCTCAATTTTATGACAGGATTTGGCCTATACGTCTAAAACAACTAAGTGAAAAGGATACCAAAGGGCATTCGCGAGGTTCCAACAATCAGCACTCGATCCTCTCCTTTGAGGGTTTTCAAAATCTTAGGCAGATCCTTTTTAAGTCTCTTGGGGTCACTCTAAAAGAGAGAACGCGAACGAATATGGTTAAGACGAGGTCGTCAATGTTTGGCGTCCCCCCTCTTCCCCCGACTACTTTGCGTTTTTATCTCTGCGCAGCTCTCACATTAACTAGCGAGGAGGAGGGTCTCTGGATCTTATGAAGGTCCTCAATCCATCTCACGAGAAAGCGTGATGTATATCGCGATAACACGTAAAGGATATCACGTTCAGGCTTCGCGTTTTATATTTGCGCACCTTTCACGTTGACTAGCGATGAGAGTCTCTGAACTTTACGAAGGTTCTCAATTCATCTGACGAGAAAGCGTGATGAATGTCGCCAGAATACGACAAGCAAAGGCTACAGTGGGACATTGCTCGAATGGCTTCGTTACCTTGTCAGTCTTGGGAACCTTCTTAACAAATGTTCTCTCGGCATCTCCAACGTACACGACTGAGGGTTGAAGCTGCCGGGCAACCTGATACAGAACAAAGCGGAAAGAAATAAATTGTTAAGAGAGGGGCGCCCTCTTACTGTAGGTTCGAATATCAGCCGCTGTACGGTAAATAGCCCGTGTGTCTTCTCTTCTCTCTTTTTCTCTCTCCTGGAAGGGGGGGGGGGCCCAAAACCCTCCTCCCCTCTCCCGGTCCCTCTCTTGGAGGGAGGGGACAGACCCCAAAGAGCAGAGGAAACTAAGTCATTTTCTGAAGCCTATTCGAAGATTTTTTGCGATCTCCAACAAAGCTGACAAAAAAAGTGGCATCTGAAAACTTCTTCGTTCGTTCAAAAAATATGAGGAGGTTTAGAGCATGATTGATGACAGCGTCATGTGTTTTTGAAAGGATGGCATGTGATACCTTAAACACCATATGAAGCATCATGGCCAATCCAGCCTTTCCTGGGTATTTTCCCGCGATATTCGCAGCGGTTAAGTCGAACATATTGGCCCCAGTCTCCGTACAGATACAATGCACCAACATTTTCTTCCCAACTCCACGCGGGCCCGCAATCAGAACTGACTTAACTAAAGGGGCTTTTTCATGCACAGCTTGAGATCCTGCAAATTTAAAAAAAAAAAAAGATCAATTGTTACAGTGTATATCTTCCCGACCTTTTTCGCCTCGAATTTAAGATAAGAATTTTGCAATTAGAACAGAAATTATCAGTAGCTGTTACATAGAAAGTCTTCGAAAGTCACAGAGACAAACAAATTTTTGTTGAAATACAGTACAATAAGAGTCTAAAGTCAGATGAAGTTAATTCACGTCTGCTTATTTTAAAACCATTCACTTCATGGGCAAAATTGTGTTTGTTTGTATGTTTAAACTACTCACTACGTTCCTAAATAATACTTAAGTTGAGTTGCCCAGTCACCTACCTAAGGGAAGTATGGCAAACTCAGTAATGACTCGTCTTACATCAGACAATGAAGGCATGGGCTCAATGTTAGCCTGACGGAGAGTTGTTCCAAGGTAACTAGAAGAGAAATTTGACACTCTTGATTCAAGTTCATAAATGGTATTGTGCGTCATTACCTAGACATGCTTGCATGGTAACTAATTTTTAGCGGAGTTGTTTTCACTTCAGTGTCGAAAGTTATTCAAGATCAGCTTTGCTCTACTGCGCTCTGAAATAGGTATTTGCTCTCACATTCACCTATGTTCTTTGACCGATGAGTTTCCTTTGCTTTTAGTTTAACGACGCTCATTTGAAATACACTCTTGGGTGATTTAAGCGGGATCCTATCTTGCATTGTCAAGCGCCTATTATGCGTAAATAAGCGAAAACGAACGGACGGCGCGTAAAATGGCTTGACAAAGTCCAACCACTGTTTTTTCCAGAGTATACCCACCTGTATTCTCCAGCAAAGTCCCTCAGATTAATCTTGGGAGGTCTTACTAAAATTCCTTCGTGGACCAATTCTTCATAAAGGGACTCTATTGTTCTTTATACATATAAAATAAAAGGATAACTTTTAAAAAATGTCAAAGTAAATACGGTTTGGAAGATAGATATGTCATCAAAGCTGGGTCGGGAGGGTTATGGAGAAAGGTTGGGGAAAAAAAGGAGACACAACAGGCAGTCACGAAGGATTGCGTGACATAAGCAGAATAAAGACTTCAAAGTCACAGAGGAGAGTTCTACAAAGGAATAGTCACAGATAGAGAGATTGCGTGACAGTGGAGTAATAGAGGAATGATATGTCGAGAGTCACGAGGAGGGGAGGGATTTTCAGGAATTACATGGGCGGCAAATATTGAATGATTGCAAGATTACAACTCCTTAAGGTAAACCAGCGACTTGATTGAGGTAAAAGCCACTTTTTTTAACCTTTCCTTGACCAAAAACCTAAACTTCAATAAGGGGCATATAGAAATTACAAAATAATCAAGAAAGGGTACGAGAATTTAAAAAGAAACACACCTGTCAGCGGTCAAATCTTTCTCTTTCTTCTTTTTCTTTCCTTTCTTTCCACTTTTCTTTCCACTCTTCTTTTTTTTCTGGAGAAATATGAAGTAAACAATGTCAATATATCATCAGCTTTTGTTGAAAAATGCTCAAATAATTATCAACACAGACGCATAAAAAAAATCAAATAAATCACTAACTTCTCACCTTTTTCCCACTTTTCTTGCCACTTTTCTTGCCTTTCTTTCCCTTCTTGCCCCCTTTATCTCTATCAACAGCCTGTAAATATCAAACAAACAGAACTGCTATCACAAGCATTTTTCCTTTTTACATCTTGACGTTCTTTTCTTCTCAAAAAGAATTAGCTAAGGTTTATTTCTTTTCACAACAATAAACATGCCCTTAAGTTAAGAAGTGTCTCTGTCAAGTATTTACCATTTTCAAGTTTTTCAGTTCTTGCCGCATAAGCTCATCAACTTGCTTTCGGATTTCCTCATCGACTTCAATCCTAAAAAAAGTCGGTAAAGGAAACAATTGATTTCTGCTGTAGTCTTTGGCTATCTTGACAACATGATTAAACAACAATGTGAGATCGTTATCATTTCCATGAGGTACAGTGTAGGTTCAGAGCCACCTTAACTTGCAACGACTGTGAACATACTTCACAGATGCTTTTCAATTTGGCAAAAAAAAAAATGAATCTCAACATGCCTGCATTGGATTTGTTTGGAGCTGATAAATTAACCTTCAACTCCCAAGATCTGATTGTTAATTCTCTCCTCTAGCTACTACACATTTCCTTGTAAATTAGTTATGAGAATTTGGTGGTAGATCAAGGCAACTTTAACCTTAAGGTCACTGTATTCTCATTATCTGTTTGCTGGATAGTATATGGATATTTTAGGGAGAATTTACACATTAATCACCTGTGGGAGTTAAAGGGTTAAGAAGATGTGTGATGCTATTTTCAAAGCACCAATGAAGCAACCGTTTATGGTTTTCATGATCAGTGGTACTATGAATAGTTGAAAAAATAGTTTTAAAACCCTCCTATATATCTAAGCTAAAAAAGTGCAAAATGGCAAGCATATAGTGTACTTCCAGTAAGTTTTTACAAAACTCAATATTGAAATCCACCCTGAACTGAAGGGATTTCATTTCCTTTTACCTTTTAGCCTCTTTGATTAACTCTGCATCATGTTTCTGCTCAAAGTTGGTGGCCTCATCTCTGAACTGCCACACATCTAAACCAAAAAATTACCAGTCTGTCATGTGAGGCAATTTAATTTGATAGGGAAAATTATTGCCACCATAAAGAGTTTTTAAAGCTGATGTCTCAAGCGTTAGTCCTTCACTAAAGCCAATAGAGGAATTGTAGGTTGCATGCAGTTTATGGAGATGTAACTGTTACACAGTGGCCAGTGAGTCTCCTATACTAATGAGTAATTGGTTGTTGTAAATGTTGTAGTGAGCCAATAGAGGAATTGTAGGTTGCATGCAGTTTATGGAGATGTAACTGTTACACAGAGGCCAGTGAGTTTCCTATATTAATGAGTAATTGGTTGTTGTAAATGTTGTAGTGAGGATGATCATGGCGAGAATGACACTCCTACACAAACACCTAAAAAAAATCAAAATTGTAGCACTGACCTTTGTAAGTAGCAGCTGCTTCATTCACTGTTGGAACAAAGTTTGAAACCTGCATTTTTATACCCTCTTCTTCTTCCTTTGAAACAATAATAAGCAAAAGCCATATTAACCTTTGAATACCCAAAAGTGATTAACATGTAACTTCTCCCAATAATATCTAAACATTATCCAGCACACAGGTCATGAGAATACTCAAACTTATCAGGTAGAAGTTGTTACCTTGATCTAACACCAAGTTTTCATAACTTACTTACAAGGAAATGTGTAGAAGCTAGAGGGGAGAATTAACAATCAGATCTTGGGAGTTACAGGGTTAATCAAATGGAGCTAATTGAATGTCAATATTTGAGATAATCCCACAAGATAGGGAAGTTTCCTGAACATAGTTTATTCCCAAATATTTATAATTACAATGACTACATAGTACACAAATTTGATAACTAAAATTATAAAATAATTCAAATAGTACACGCACTCTGATTGGCCATAAAACCATTTTGCATGAGTTTATGTAAACACGGTTTTCGTTCCTCTTTCATTAGTTATTTTATGAAAGAAATCTAAAATAGTTTCCATGTTTACATAGCCTGATGTAAACACTTGGAAGGTTGGGAGAACACTTGATAAGCTGGAAACCACTCCACTTCGCGTCGTGGTTTCCTACGCTTATCTCATGTTCTCCCAACCTCCTGCGTGTTTACATCAGGCTATGTAAACATGGAAACCATTTTACATTTCTTCATTAGTTTTCACAATACTATTAATGACAGTTGATCTCACCTCATCTCCTCCCTTTCCTTTTCCTTTGCCTTTCTTTCCTTTTTTGTCTTTTTTATCCTTTTTCTCTTTCTTCTCTTTCTTTCCCTTCTTTCCTTTTTTCTTCTTTCCCCCATCCTCATCCTGTGAGATACATTTTTACAAACATTACAATTCTATTTTGAGGTAAAAAGCTTTCGATTGTCATTTTCAAGAGCAATTGGAGGGCTCAGAGCAAGAACGATCCCTTGATACTTGTGGTGTTTCCAGCTGCTGTAATTTACAGTCACTTATAAAATTGTCAAAGCTCATGCCATGCCAAGACTTTGCTATACAAGCATATATTTCTGCTTTGAAACTCAAACTGAAGCTAATGCAATTTGAAAATGCAAAATATAGCAGTTTCATGGGTTACGGTGAAGTATGCTCCTACTGACACTGAAACTTGAATTGCTGGTAAACATTTAACAAGTGAAGCATTTCCTAAAAACAGAATGTTAGAACCCCTTTCTGGGTTTTCCTGGTAGGGAAAATTACTTTTCAGAATTCCACACGTTTTCTAGCCTCTGCTAGACTATCTGTTCATGCCACAAAATTCTACACTACAGGAAAAGTTATTGCACTTAAATAAAGTGTGCTGTCTTTACCTTCTGTCCCTCCTCCTTCTCCATCTGGAAAAAAAAGAATGTTACATAATTTAGCAAAGTGAAGCTAAGGCCTTGATTGTGGCACATCCTGAAGTCTACACAAACATCCTGTTCTGTGATCCAAGGGTGATATCACTGGTAAATGAAACACAGCCACTAGCAACATCATTCCTTACATTTGACTCCTTAAAGGAAACCAGATGCAGCAATTACCTCCAAAGGATCTTTCTCCTTGAATATGGCAGCAGATCCTCCTTCATCGTCATCAGGGTAATCAGGAAACTTGCCTGTCTTGTCCCTGAAAAAAAAAATCAAGCAATGAGATAAAATGAACTATTCAAAACAAACTGCACTAGTTTTCATCCAATGATTCATTCCACTCTTCAGATCATATCACACAAAAATGTACTAAAAACAGCACAATACAGACTGTTAACAGAATCTTCACCCAAAAGTAAGTATTTTTCAAGAATGATCTCAAAACAGAAAAGACAAGCTTTCACAATTTAAGGTGGAGAGATATGTCCAGAAATGCATGCTGTAATGAAAATGGCAAAAAATTTGTCAGATCATTGAATCCGCCAAGCTGATTTTGCCCTGAAAAATTTGACTAAAAATTTTTTAAAATCATCAATCCAGTGAAACTGATTTTGCCTTGACAAATTTGACTAAAATTCAACAAAATCATCAAATTCATGAACATTCCCTTGGTTTGATAAGATTTTGTCAAATCTGCCATTTTCATTATCTCGTGCATTTCTGGACATTAAGGTGAAGGTGGAGAACCTGGAGGTTAACAATAATCTCTAATGTCCATAGCCCCCTTTTTAGCAATGCTAAGGTAACTGTAAGTTGAGACAGGGTTACCAAACAAAGTTCAAACCAGTGCACAGCTGTTCCAAGAGTGAATTATACTTATATCCAGCAGAGGAGAGACTCTGCCTTGGTCATTCATGGGAGTTAAAGGGGAAAGTTTGTTGGGAGACCAACCTGCATTCAATAAACCATTGCCTAATCTGATCTTGCATGTTTTCTTTCATATCTGGTCCCTCAATCTCGCGAATCTTCTCCTTAATGGAAACAAGTGCCTAGGAAAGAAATCATTTGTGAAAATAGCTATTAAAAATTGTATTTCTCCTCAATCAAGTTGTGCATGCATTTAAAGATGGATGGTTTAATACTGACAGAAATCACCAAAATGTAGCTGCACTCTGTACTGTGGGGTGCATGGCACATTCTTCTTCAATTATGAAGCCACAGTGACAAAGAGTCAAAGTCAAGAAATTCAAGTTTTATTTAAAGAAAGTTATAAAATCAACATGACAATGTATTTAAATCTTTGCCATTTTGTGATAATGCAACCTTACTTGTTGATATTCCCTCTCATGTTCTTCTTGAACGACTCTTCTGTGGTCCTGAACATAGCAAACAAATAATCACCATAAAGTTTTCAAACAAGTTTTAAAGTTTTAAGAAGTTTGGGCAAATAAGGTATCATCATATGACCTTTTGGGCTGGACAGGAATAAATTTGTGTCTTGATCATGATGCACAGACCTTGCTGTCCAAGGCCCATACGTCATGACCTCAAACCAAATATTTTCCCATCCAGCCCTCCCACTTAGTTAATAAGTACAAAGCATAACATGCACATCACTTTCAAATCTTAGTTTTTTAATAAATTTAAGTATAAGGTGATGTTTAGCCAGAGAATTCTCTGCTCTCCATAACCTATAAAGAACACCATGTGTTTTAAATGTTTGTTATAGAAGCAAGTTTGGAAAGATTGGTAGATACTATACAACGTATTTGCCATGCTTTCGGCTCAACCAGGGCCAACCATCAATTAAAAATAAATTTAAGCAAATTGGAGCTTACAGTATTTATGTTGTTGTACTTCACATCTTATTGTTCAGTCACCTGTTTTTATTGTTAAATTACCTCTGTCTTCTTAGCTGAATACATGGGTGTGTCTTTCCAATCCTTTGGCTCAGGAGGAGAAGCCTGAAGAAGGATCAAATTATAAACAACTGTCAGAATACTTGTCAGAGGTAAAGACATTTAAGATGAAGAAGTTCCAATTTCATGGTTGAATAGTCTATCAACTGAGTCCATGAGATAATAAATTTAAGGTATTGTTCATTTTTCTAATTATTTACATGACGACTAAGTCATTACAAAGACATGACCTGGCAGTAAGATGTGCCAAAACTTTGTTGCTTACCATTCCCACAAATATCAATTCTTCTTCTCTCATTTTTTTGGTCTTTCTTCTTTGTGAGTAACCTTTCCAAACCTGGATATTATGAGAGTTGTATTAAAGATATTATTAAGCAGATCTAGAGTCTTCTGCAGGAAAGCCATCAAGGTTTTACAAAACAGACCATAGCAATAATTGTGGGATCATCTCAAAATCACAAAATCACAATTACAGCACCACGATCTAACAGACTGTTATATCCCTTTGATCCCTTAGAGTGAATAGCATCTTATTTCTCCTAACAATATCAGCCCTGAATCAAACATTAAGGTTATGAGAATGAAGGAAATGATCATCAACTAAAGAAACTCTTGATTGTTGAACAAATTCTTATTATCAACACCCTTGGAAAGGTATGGAAAACAGAAAAGAGAATAAACACACTGGGCAGATTATTTAAAGAAAGCTTAGCTGTTGTTTAACAAAACCGTGTTCTAAACTATCTGCAATTCAGCTGAACCTTATCTGAATGTTTATTTTGGTGAACAGTGTCTATAGAGCTGGAGGCTAACAGTAGATGGACATTTATTTCTCAAATCAACCTTAAAGAACCAACCCACTGATGTTAGGATGTATAAGAGAAAATTCAAGCAGCTGATGAACTTTCTGTCAGGAATAATCACTAGTTTGCAGCAAACGATAACTTCTCACTGATTTATATTAACCCTTAATAAATTTCCCTACGTTTTCCAGCAAAACAGGTGATGAGAATATTCAAACCTATCAGGCAGAATTTGTCATCCTGATTGAACACCAAACTCTTGTCACTAATTTACAGGGAAATGTGTAGCAGCCATAGGGGAGAATTAACACCTACATCTTGGGAGTAAAAGCATAAAACTACATTAAATTAAATGCAATTAACTTTCAACTCTTCAGTTAATAACCTTTTGAATTTTTGTAGCTGCAATGTCAGGATCCATAGTTGGTGCTCCTCGCAGTTGTGCCTGACGTTCCCTCTCTTCTTGTTGTCTAAATCAGAATGTAACTCAGCAATTAAATTTTATTAATCAGATGAGTTGACATCTGAGAGGTGACTTTTCTCATCTTGTGTTTCCAGGTCAAATCAAAATTTGGAGTGTTGATTTTTGAGGAAGGTTAAGAACAGCAGAAGTCAGTGAAAAACCCTTGGGAGTAAGGACAAGAAACAACAACAAACTTTATCAACCTGCTTGCAGTGTGATACTAGGATTGGGAATTGAACCTTGACCAGTGGAAAGCAATCTTACAGAGGAGGATTTGGTGGTGACCAATGTTACACAGTGCAGATACATGATTGTATAGACTAATAGTATAGTACACTGATTATTTCTCAAATTCTTGTTTTATTTAATTTTGCTCTGTTTTAAGGAAACAAAAATATAACAATATTTAAAAAGGTTGTTTGAGAATGTTTCACTGAATGAGGAAATGGTCAGAACTTCCAATAAAAACTGTGTCTAACCTGATTTCTCTCATGAACTTTGCTCTCAGTCTTCCTTGCCGAGCCCTCTCATGCACCTGAAAGAAGTTTTAGGTTCATTGTTTGCTTATTCTTGTAAAATAAAAGCAACACGAGTGTTTTTATGTTGATAATATAAATTTGATCTGTTGTCTCACGACAAAGTCACTAGATGTAGATCATGACATTTCAACAGCTTACTGCAAGTCTTCTTCAGGTGATGGGATTGACTGGTTCCAGCACAGCATTATGTATCATGGTGGTCTGCTGTGATTGGTGCATATGTTATATTTCAGTCAAAAATTATTATAAGCAAAGACAAAGCTAACACAACAAAAGAACTGTTTAATAACAAACCTGAATAAGCCTGATGGCATCATCAAGAGTCATCTGTATTTCTTCCTTTTGCTGTGGAAAAAAAAGGATAAAATACAATTTAGGGAGAATTTTAAATATCATTATTAATGAATATATGATTTCGTAGAACGTAATTTATTTTGTTTGAAATTTTGCCTGTAACCCTTTCACTCCGAGAGGTGATCAACAAGTAACTTCTCCCTATAATATCTGTACATTATCCCCAAACAGGTAATGAGAATACTCAAAATGATCAAGTAGAAGTTGTTAATAATGCTGATCTAACACCAAATTCTCATAACTAATTTACAAGGTAATGTTTAGCAGCTCGGGGAGAGAATTAAAAATTAGACCATGAGAGTTAATGGGTTTAATTACTTCCATTACTCATAATTATCAATTGATTACTGGAATTTGAGTTAAACTTTCGACTATTTATTGGAGAAAATTTCAAAACATACAAAGGAAAAAACATTAAAATTAAACTGACTGAACTTACTGGTGTTGTTTCTTGTGGACCCATTTTTGCCAAGATGCTGCCCAGCATTTTTTCTCTTTCTTGCAGAACTTTGGAATTCTCATATGTGAAGTATTTTGGAATGGGGATTTCTATATCATCCTTGAAAGTAAAGAAGGAAAAATTGTGGGAATTTTAATAATGGGGAGTCTTAAGGACTGCAAATAGAAGATACAGTGGCCTGATGGTCGGTGTACTGGAATCTGAGTCTATAGAGGTCTGGGTTCAAGACCAAGTTGCATCAATGTGTTGTGTTCTCATGCAAAACAATTTATTCCCATTCTGTTTTCTTCACTCAGGACCTGGTTGTTCAATGCTGGGTTAAGATAACCCAGGGTTTGTGTGAAATTTTATTTCAGATCTGAAAGCTTTAAAAGAAAATTCAGTTTGATTATTTTTGTCTACAATTTGATTATCGGATACTCTAAATTAAAAAGAATAGAGAAAATTATCTGAAAAGGCTCTTGAACAGAGAAATAAAGAAAACAGGTTTTAAATTAACCTTGGGTTAGTGCCATTGGGCCTTCAAACAACTGCCTTGAATTATAAATGGGTACCAGAAAATTGTCAGGGAAGCTTGATGAAATATTAGGGGGAGGGGGACCTAGTAATGAATTAGCATCCCATCTATGGGTGGGGGGGGGTAACACTCCTAGCTGCCTCATGTCATGGAAACTGTCATATTGGCTGGATGGACTACTTGGCTTGAGTACAGACTTCACCTCAGGGGGTGCAAAATTAACTTTCATATCAACAGTATTTTCAATTTATCATTGTGATCACAAAAATGGTTGAGTGCTTGTCAGGTCTGCATGGCCATTAGCTCAATGTAAAATTTAGCTTTACCATTAAAATTTCAACATATACTTTGTTCTGGTTTACAATTTAAATCATTTTAAGACTGTGATACTGTCAGTAATGATCAGCTGCAGCCAATACTTACAGGTGTAAGTTTCAGATCTGACAGCACATCATCAAAGTAGTGATACTCTGAGAATTCAAGCAGTACCATTTCATTCTTTAACTCAAGAATCCTGCAGTAAAATAAACGTTTGAATGAAAATCATTATAATTAGTATTATTATTGAAAGTCTGGGGCTGGGAACTGAGTTCTCCAGTCATTCTGAATTTGCGCAAAGTGCAGTTACCACTTTTTGCTTGTAATGAAAAAGAAAAATAACTGTCAGACGATTAAAAGCATATAAAGTGCTGTGGTTCGCCTTTTCTTGTTTTTTCCTCAAACAAGTTTGTCTACAAATATTACCAGGATCTTTTTAAACAAACAAAAATACCAAGGATACTGGTATAAAATAACACTAAACCTGACATCTCCAAATGGTGAATGTCTAGTAAGGTACTGCAAGACTGAATAACTCTTTCTGTTACCTTCCCATGATACCATCAAGCAAATGACGCAACACCCGTCTCTTTTGAGGATGAACCACCTGACAGGAGAAAATATACAAAAGCACGTTATAAATCTATACCACATTGATATCTTGAAGCTGAGGAAGAGTTCCCTCCCCCCCCTTCCCTCCCTTCTCTCTCCCTCATTTAAAAAATTGTCAATCAAATATAAATTTCACAATTGTAGGTCAGCATAGTGTGCATACATTTGTGAGTGCAAATCACCTGATCATAGCATTCTTCAATCCTTCTGAATATTTGAATATATTTGATATACATCACAGCAAACATCTGAAATGCTGCAATACGGTCCTGTTGAATGAATTCCAAAAGAAAAAATTAATGATGACATTCAGAGCGGGAGGAGTAAACCATATTAGTTTCTTGTGTTTTGCTTTGCAATGCACCATAAGAAATGTACAACATTTTACAACCCCAGTGTTTATGTGCTCTCTAAACATTTTGTTTTACCACGTTTTTGTTGTTGTCACCCTTGTGGTTTGCATAAGACTATTGAAAATATTACTTACTAAAGAACACAACACCTACAATTGACCTCGAAAAAATAGTTTGACTTGTGATACAGTAAAAATATATCTGATAAATATGAAAATCTTGGTACCTTTTCTGGTTTGGCCGGTTCTGATGGAAGTTCAACCTCCAGCAGATCAAGAATCCCTCCCTGGGATTCAACCCACTGTTTTCCATAATAACTGAACAAGAACAAAAAAGATGGAGACAATCATTTAATTGCTTCATCTAAATCAATATAATGAGCACAAGAGTCAAACGCAATTTTATTTTTAATTGACCTTAGTGCATACATGAATATTCTGACCAGAAAAATTGAAAATAAATGAGGTTTTCTATGGAATCACTTAATTAAAAACACTCTGGTGTTCTCCCCAAGTTGCAACTTTCAGATCAAGAAGTTGTCCGCCAATTTGCGAGTAACTCTTCACAAAAAAGTAAAAAACAATACGGACAGCTTTCATCCACTTTACTATGATCTATATCGTATCACTGATGGATCGTAAACTTTGTTTTGAGAACTTCTGCATGGATCTGGCTATAAACAACTCCTGTAAAACTCGTAACAAACGTACTTTGCAATTTGCGACCTTACAAGTTTGTTTGTGATACAAAATCCAAAGATAACTCCTGAATGTGGCCCAAACTTTAAACAAAATTATCTAAGGACTCTACCTGTGTGACATGGTTGGAACTTTTCTTTACATATGTGGAGATCTTCGCTGTAATCAAAGAAGAAAACGAACTTCAGGCTTCAATCGCCATATTTTATTACGCGCAAATTACCATGGAAACCATAGTATGCATCTTGCGCATAATTTATTATGGGAGATAACGCTGACAGATACTTTTGCGATTCGCTTAAGCATAGAACATGCTATTCGATAATTGATTTATTCCTTTCATAATTGGGATTACATTGATTGTAACTAAGGTGTGTGGAAGGGGCTGTAATAATGTTCACCCAAGACGGCACTCCAACATCGGGAGAACTTGAACAGTTCGCTAAGGAATTTAAACAACGAAGAATCAAACTTCGTTTCTCGCAGACTGAGGTGGGCTTAGCGCTTGGATATCTTTACGGAAACGTGTTTAGCCAGACTACAATCTGCCGTTTCGAGGCCTTACAGCTGAGTTTTAAAAACATGTGTAAGCTTAAGCCTCTGTTGATGAGGTGGCTCGAAGAAGCAGATACTGACAGGCCTTTTGGAAGCGAGAGCGAGAAGTTGGAAGCTAAGCGAAAACGAAAGAAGAGAACAGCGATTGAGGTTTCCGTTAAAAGTGTCTTGGAGAACGAGTTTTGCGCAAACCCAAAACCATCTGCTAGTGAAATAGGCATTCTGGCCACAAATCTCGGCATTGATAAAGAGGTTATTCGAGTGTGGTTCTGCAACAGACGACAGAAAGAAAAAAGGTTAACTTTGAAGGAAACCAAAGAACACGGAAAACCATGTAGTGGTGAACAATTTGAGGAGGAAGCACCGCATGATCTTGATGATATGACATCTTTAGCATAATTGCTGGTGTTTAAATTGCACATCTGTGGTGCATTTTTGTCTGTTACTAAGTTTTAACAGAAGTACCAGCGTATTTCAAATATTGTTGCCCTTCTTTGTTCGTTTTTACACCTACTCTATCTAGCTTTCACTTTAAACATGATTTAATATGTTTAAATAAATAAATAAATAAATAAATATTTTAATAACACTACATAATGTCACCGTGTGAATAGAAGAGGATCTCAGTTATATTTCTATGGAAAATCAAGAATGTTATGTGCGAGAAATTTTAAACTGGATGACCGTTCTTCCTTTTGATGATAAGTATATTTAATCAAGATCAAGGTATCTTTTTAATTTCAGTTCCATACATAGACGAAAGAGAGACAGCTTAGGACGGAATTTCAACATATAAGTAAACGAAAGTTACGAAAATATTATTTTTGTTGGAGTAAAATAACTACTAGTTAGCACAGTCAAAAGTCATTTCTGCTCAGGAAGCTCAAACGTACCGTCGACACCCTGGTGACACCAACTGGTGACACCCAAGAATGGTTTCGAATCAGACCACGTGCAAAAAAAAGACTGCCACAGACAGTCATTACGCTAACTTTTTTTGTCTGACATCTCGGTAATTGCCACTTAGGAAAAAAAAAGATTAAATATTGTTCGGAAAAAAAGCAATGGCCTGATTAGAAGAAAATGTTGCAATTTTTAGTTCGAGAGCAGTGCGGCGGTAGCAGAGGAATCTTCGCTACTGTAATCTGAGTTTAGCTATCCCGATGTACTTATCTTATCTAATGTGTCACGTAACACTCACCCTGTTCCTCGCCGTTGACAATCGGACAGCATGGTGGAATCAGAGAACGCAAGCGTCGCCACCGATGCAAATGGCTCTTTGGAGAAAGACGTAGAGTATCTTTTGGACCGAACTAACTTAAAAAAACATAGAGAAGCTTTTATCCGCTGTGGAGCCGTGAGAGTGAAGGATTTTCTTGGCTTAGGAGACGACAAGCTAGCGGAGATAGGTCTTAACCAAATGGAAGTTCAAAATCTTAGAGGAAATCTTCATGAAATCCAAGCAGAATTGAAGGAAGGAAACAGCAATTACAATGGTAATTAGGTTTTCTCTTTAGCAAACGAATGTGATATTTAGATTTTGGCAAGGTATAGTCAACTTCATTAAATACACAACTCGATAAGCAGTCTTTTCGTTTCGCAGTCCGCCATCTTGAGAACGGATCGAAAATGGCGCCAATTACATTGTTTATCTTTTTCTTAAGGGAATCGAATGTCATTGATTTCCGCACCATGCGATGCTTGAAATATTTGTCTGTAAATTCAAAGCAGACGACAAACGATTTTCCGAAGTAAAACTTATTTTTTATAGAATCACGCAAATCGTAGACCACACTTTTTGCCTTTAAAACCCTTGAAACATGTTACTTTAAGAGGGTTTTCGTTTCTGCGTTGTAATTCTAGTTTCTTCAATGAAATGTCGGTTGTCTGTTGCTTCAAAAGGAACACAGAAATCGTTCGATTAGTTTTAAAAATAGTCAGTGTGGTATGGGGTGGCTGAAATATTATGAATCTAGCTGCGATGGGTTAAAGAGCTCACAGAATGTTTCCAGCTCTATTATCTACTGCTTCAGTCAATCAACACTTACACTCGACATCGCTTGATGGCAAAACATTGACATTAAGGAAATAGTAGCATTATTTAAACTTATTAATCTTTCCATGCACACATAAAAAAAAAATTCATTACAATTACCACCTTGGCGAAGTGACTGGCAGACAGCCAAAACGCTAATTGAGGTTTAACTAAGATTTACAAAACATCAGATGGCCGGAAGTTTGTTATTTTTGATAAATTAGAGGAATCGAAGAAAGGCAGCCATTTCCAAAATAATGTGTCAATGAAAGAGTGAGCACTAAGTAATCTTGAAGAGCCCTCCAGATCCCAAATCTAACCCTTGAAGCACTCCATAGGTAACAAAACCTTGACTCTGTAACAGAAGTGTAGTTCTAGTTGTTCATTATATCACAACAGTACTATTTATGTAATCTTTCATCGCATACTGGGGACCATGTGCTTTAAAGAGATACGTCATTTTATATCTTTTGTGTAGCCTACACATTGTCATTAAAAGTCAAGTTTGTAGTTATTAAGGCAATATGATATAAAATGTTACAAACTAAGTTTTTGTTCTCTGAGCCCAAAGATTGGAGTGTTAGATCTATGAGACAGTAAATTTATTGCAACTTTCAACTCTTATTTCAGAAAGATCAGTGGATAACACAGAGTTTGGTTTGCAAGATGAAGATGCTCCAACATCAGTTGATTTAGAAGAGTTTGCAAGGGAATTTAAACAGCGACGAATCAAGCTGCATTTCACTCAAGCTGATGTTGGCCTTGCTTTGGGGAAAATGTATGGCAGCATGTTTAGCCAGACTCACATCTGTCGCTTTGAGGCTCTGCAATTGAGTTTTAAGAACATGTGTAAACTCAAGCCGTTGCTGATGAGGTGGTTGGAAGAGGCTGATAATGACAGAAGTTCTGGAAGCAATTGCAATCCTCTGGAAACTCAGGGAAGGAAGCGAAAGAAGAGAACATCCATTGATGTCACTGTCAAAAGTGTGCTGGAAAAACACTTTTCTTCCAATCCCAAACCATCTTCACAAGAAGTCGAAGGGCTTGCAGAAAACCTTGGAATCGATAAGGAAGTTGTGCGAGTGTGGTTCTGCAACAGAAGGCAGAAAGAAAAGCGCTTAAGTGCAGCAGCCACAGGAGAAGACGAAGGCCAACAAGTTGAATCACAGTGACTCACTTTCATCTCAAAGTGTATTGTTATCCCTCAGCCATCTTTAACATATCATCAATAGTTATATCATACATCATAGAACTGCACAAAAACTTCTCATAGTTTTTTTTTTCAGCTGTATGTTTGCTTGTTTCCTTTAGTCCACTAAATGAACGATGACTTGTTCTGAAAAGTAAGTTTGTATTCTGATTTTCACCAAGTTGAAATTTCTTGTTTATATAATAATTTAGATAAACCACCGTATCCTAATTGTACTTTTGTCAACATTGATATATTAAATAAAATTTCATACTCAAAAAAGATTTGCAGGAGGTAACACAAGCATTTTACTTCAAATCAAGGAACCCATGCTAGGTCCTGAATTACAAGGGATCAACAGGAAAGGTCCTAAAGATAGAGAACCCAAAGTTAAGGCACCCTTAAATCATGGAACCTGAACAAGGTACACAGCCAGGTAACCCATACAGCTGGGGATAAATCAGGATGTGTCCATGTCCTTCCAATGCACCAAAACATCCCCCCCAGCAACCTGTGGGGGTTGCGCTTCATACCTTGGACTTAAGAATTTTGACAAATGGCCCTCCTAGGGAGTGGGTAATTTGAACCTTGTGTGAGTGGGGTTGAAAATTTGAACTAGAAGTGTCACAAATCTTTCCAGGAGAAAACACAAGTTTAATTTTTTGATATGGTCAAGTTTAAAGGCAAAGTCTAGGGTGATGGTGGCGGGGGCTGTGGGGGGGAGGGAGGGAAAGGGGGTTCAAATTGATTGCCATATAAGTTTCCAGGAAAGGAGATTTACAGCTGTACTGAGATGTTGCTTGGTAAAACTCTTGGACTTGTTTGAAACTTTTAGGAAGCGTTAAGCCCAATATAGATTGTTACAGGCAAGTACTTCTTTAACCCCGTTTCTGACGTTGTTTACAATGTTAAGATGTCACTCATGAGACTACATGGCTAGATTACAATGGCTGCTGCTGTCTTAGCATTGGTGAGATGGAACAAGATAGCTGTGGATAAATGTCTTGAGTTATCAACAGGAACAAAACTAGGAGTGTTCTGGAGCGCCATGATCATCATCCCTCATTCCCCTTTTTTGAAATAATAATTTTCAATGCCAATAGAATAAGAAGGACGGTAAATTTTTAGCTCGGCTAAGAAATAGAGAAATATTTTTTTCGACTTGTCACAAGTTTGGGACAAAGAAAACATTCTAAGTCCCTATGAGGAATCGAACCTAAGATCTTCGGATTCCGCGCCCTGATGCTCTAGAACTGAGCCTCCTATGACGAGCAAGGCCATTACGGAGGTCAGAGGTTAGATTCATCATGGGACGGGGCAGCAGCTACAACAACCACCACCGATCTGGGGAGTGGGCCCGAATTTGTGCGTCACTGGCTACGCCCACTTTCGTTTAAAATTTTGATCAAACTCCTTTCCCTCGTTGTGCGCACTCGCCACCGTCGTGAAGGTGCATCGGCGAAGGAAGTTACCGCGCACATGTAAAGATACGTTTTCAAAATAATGGGTCAAGGGGGAACTGGACAATGAACTATGTAGCCGCTTTTTGCCTTGCGCACAACTGTCTTTCTTTGAATTGTCGACTTGATAAAACTACTCCCTCGGAGCAGTAAGAAGGAAACAGAAAAATCATCTAAATTGTCTCTGCAAATAATGTGAAGAGAAAAAAGCTTTCAATAAATGTTTGAGCCATAACTGAGAATCTGATACTTTCGTCATTTTTCCCCCAGCTGGATCCCGCCCAAGGTTTCCTTACCCTTACAGTAACCTCGAACCCAGATCCTACCGTTTGACTGTAACTGCTTGGCTGTGGAAGGTCTGGGTACAAGACTACCCCACCCCACCCAATCACCCTCTCCAACCGACTCCTTACAAAGTACGTATATGTCCATCTTAGGGATTTTACAGTATACTCGCTCTAACACAAACTAGATGGAGGGAATCGAACGCCTGTTAACCCTTTGACCCGTAAGAGTGACCAGCATCAAATTTCTCCTTAGAATATCGCCCCTGAATCAAGCATTAAGATTACGAGAATAAAAGATATGATCATTAACTAAATAGGAGCTCTTGATAGTTGAATTGAGCCGGCTAGGATTAATTTTGCTAGTGACTGAGTGATTGAAAAGAGGTTCTGAGTTGAAACTTCAGTTCTTGAGGTAAAATAAGTTATTTTCTCGTAACGTGGTAGGCCTGTGGCAGCTACATGTTTCTCTCTGAACAATATGTGTTTCTTCTGTACAGCTCCTAATTCCATCCCATCCACCCTTGAACACCAAGATGTATTTTGTGCTCCTCCCTTTTAAAAACTTTGCCACAAAAATAAAAGAATTTGTTTTTATATTCGGATGATATCCTCAGATCCACGAATATGTTAATTCTCATCACTTGTTTGCAATGTAATAAAGAAACTGTGGTGCTGCGTCGGTAAGAGGTAGTCCAAGATAATTTGCGAGTTTTTTTAATGTAAATTGGCCATCGTGGAGACTCACAGTTCTAAAGCTGACGTTTCGTGCGTTAGCTCTTCGTCAGAGCAAAGTTAGTCGATTATTCTTGTATCATAAAATTAAACTTGTTTTGAGTCCAAGTCCATTGATTCTTTTTGTTTTATATCGTATCTCCTTTGTTTTATGGCTATTTTTTCACTTCGTGTTTCCTCATCTCGCCTGATCAGCGGCTATTTTATGAAAAAATTAGCAGATTCTTTAAACGATATGATGCCTACATGTTTCCGCGTTTAATATCGCTGATAATCTTTTGTTTTCAGTGGTCAAACTGTTTTACTTTCTAACAGTACTTTTGTTCGAGAGCCACATCCTTCAGATATAATTATAAATCGCTCCAGTTTCATCCTAAGATATTATTAATCTGTTCAAAACTGGAAAAAATTACGCTCAGAGCAATATCTTAGGTCACGTAGAGTGAAGGAGAATATTGGTTTCCTTATCAAGTTTTGATTAAAAACAGTTTTGCAATTGATGTTTTGTTATACATTTCCTACGAGGCTTTTTAATTTGGATACCTTCTTCTTTTACAGATGGATTTAAATGTGTTTTGGAAACCGACAGTAGGTATTTTAGTGGCATCAGCCATTTTACTTGCCTCACGTATTATCGTGTTTCAAAATAAATTGAAAACATACTTAATAAAAAAGTATAAATTTTACCACAGGGCAATAACTGACATCATATCTCTCGATTAAGGATCACCAACAAGGAGAGTTATTTCAATGTACTTTTTGTAAGGGTCTTGTGTGTGTGCGTGGTTTTTTTTTTTGTTTTGTTTTGGTTTTTTTTTACGTAATTGATACGTCAATTCCATCGTTAAAATAATAATAAAATATTGGCGACAGTTGAACGTAGAAATCTATCAAAGTAACGTGAAAATTCTAATTTAAATTTCCTCTTTTGTCATCTTTCCTTATTAAGCAGAATTTATTGAGAAAAAAAAATTTAAAAATATTGAAGATACGTGAGACTTTTTCTCTGTTGAAACCAAATTTCTCAACGCAATTTAGTTTTGCATATTGAAGTTAAATGACAGTTTAATGAGATTATCTTCCTATCTAAGTTAGGAGACTTGGTGCCCTCGGAACTAAATTAGACTTTCGATATTACAGGAGTACTTGACAACTGGAGCGATTTGCAGTAACAGTTCAACGCGAAAAAAAAATGTTTTGGCAACAACGTCGATAAAGCTCGGATGTGATAGAGCCTTTTAACTCCAAAGTTATAAAAACTTGATATTTCTCTCCCGCATTTGAATAACAAAAGAAACTCAGTCAAGCAATTTCATTGGCTGCGCAAATCGCACGAGGCGGATGTCGATTACTTCATGATATGAACTGCTGTCTTTTGAGGGTTAAAAAAGATAGCTTGATTTTCACGAATAAAGCAAACAATCAATCTATTTTTTAAAACAGCCATTTAGAGTTTGATGACATCAGACGCGTCTGTTGAGTAAGATAACGTTCCAAGCCGACTAAGGAAATCGACATTATAAAAGACATTTTTCAGATATAAGCTCAGATCTCGAAGAGAGAGAGAGGATTAGAACTGCGTATATGAAAAATTTGAAACAAGTTCCAAGCAAATCTAAGCCACAGAAATGTCTTTTAATAACACAGGCTACACAGTTTTTAGTAACTCCAGTTCTGTTTCCTCGAATCGCCTGGAAAACCGGCCACCGTTGGGCCTCGATACCTCGGAAGTGAAAGGTCTTGCAGGTGTTAACGCGGTGGCAAGCATTATTGGTACCGTGGGCAATCTTTTGGTTTGTTTTGTAGTGAAGAAATTTCGCTTTCTAGGAAGGCCGAAAGCAGAGCTGTTCATCGCCAGTTTAGCCGTGGCAGATCTATTGGTTTGCGTGTTTGCTCAGCCAATGTATGTTTTGTTCCTCTATGGCCTGTTACCCACCCAGCTAAACATGATTAGAACGGCAGTGACCTGGATTTCGACGTTGGTCTCCGTCAGCCATTTATTTTCGATTTCAATCGAGCGTTTTCTCTCGCTGTTCTTCCTTCACCGACATAGGTTCTTCATCACAGATCACACTATCTGGAAGTCAATTGTTTTTACATGGCTCGTTGCCATAAGCTTTGGTGCACCAGCCTCGATTTTGAGAAAAGCACGTCACATAGCACAGTACTTTGTAATTGCTATCTTGCTAATCATGCCTGTTCTATACGCCGGAATATTTTACATTGTGCGACTTCAACAGCAACGAATTGGGAAACAAATACCAGCGCAAAAACTTTCAAATTCTCAAAAAAGCTTCGCAAAAGAGCGAAAGATTCTCTACATGATAGCCGTGGTCGTTGGCGCTTTTTACGTGTGTATTACACCGCTTATCGTTCTTCCGTTTTTCTTCAGCGTAGGCGCATCGCCTGCTGTTCTCAAGCACGCCAAACGCGCCTTTCCTTGGGTCAACACCATGGCGTTTTGTAATAGCTCTTTAAACCCATATGTCTATTACTGGAGAAGTTGGCGATTTAGGTTGGTTATAGAAAAGATGCTACGAAGAATGTTTGAAAAGAGATGAACGCACCACTGAAAATCGACAGAATCAGAAAGGATGAACTTTGAAACGTTATGAATTAATACATTTTTTCATTTTCAGAAACTCGCATCGAAAAGAGATGTTAGCGAAAAATTTATGTAGAATCGCGAGCTATCTCAAGTACTGTAATAATAATAATAAAAAAGCTCATGAAGTGGCATGTGGTAGTCTGCCGAAACCTTTGATTGTTAATCAGAGGTGCGGCAGTTTTTGATAGCTACAGACGGAGATGAAATCTCGCGGATTTATGTTGTTAAAAATGACATTTAACTTCCGGAAGTCATTTAAAATTTGAGAGATTAGTTGTTATGTACGTCATTTGAATACAGAGTACTGTGATAGCAATACTGGCGTAACCAAGACGAAAGAGCAAACTTGTCAGTAGAAAGATTAAAAGCGAATGGAATTGTTTTTAATACCTGTAATGTTAGCGGTGTTAGATATAACCTCTAAAGAACATGCATAAAAGTTTTGTTTGTATTACAATCTTACCCTTTGAAGTTGTCCAAAAATTTGCGTTCGTTTATCATGCAACTTATTAGGTAAATAATTCTCTATGTATGAACATCGTATCCGGCCGAGGTGACATGTTGGTGAAGACAGATCGCAGCGGCAAATTTTGCATATTGAAAAGAAATCCAGCGATAGCTCAAAAAAGAAAATTAACAAAGGATTGATCACATGAATTGTTTTAAAGGTAACAGGGACGTTGGGGATCAATTCTTGGTAGTAACATGCTGCGTGGTCCTATATGCATGGCTAAGAGTGCAGGCAAACCTTTTCCATAGTCATTAGGGGCCGGCTTCTCTGAAAGCCCCTACAACTTAACAGGCCCAGTGTAATGTGTCTAGATAAAATAATACGGAAATATGATGCCTCAAACACCTTTCCATCCTGTTTATCTCCCTGACATCTTTATTGCTTGAATTTCAAATCTGTTAAAATCTCGATCTCATTTTCTTCATTAGTCTTTTTATTCTAACGTTTTCTTGTTTGTTTGTTTTTTTTTTCGCTTTTCTGCCTACGGAGGTGCCGCAATAAATCGCATTTCAGGGAATACCAGGCTGATTTTTCATTACAAATATTATTTTTTTCGAAGAAGTAAAGGGAATCACCCTGGTAGACACTCCTAAAGTTTCGATGGCACTGTAAAGAGAAATTTAACCCTAAGACCGGGCTGATGTCTTGCGACGAGTCTTTCACACGAAGATTAACACTAGAACACGCATGTTGATTAAAAATCTGTCACCATGAAAAAAGAAGAGAGAGACTGGGACCAAATTGTATCTGCTAGAATCACCAATCATAACTCGACAAAAATCCCACCGTGGTTTGCATGTTCCGGGTTTTCAGCTAATTCTTAATAATGGGGAAGGTTTTTCCCTTGCATGGCCAATATGTGAGATGAGATTACACACCCAGCAATGTTCAGAAATGCGTTGGCGACTGGAAGATAAAATTTTCCGAGTGACACTTTCGCTCGTTCAGAAAAGTCGGCGAGGGGGGCTGGGCTGAGTTAGGACTAGAGGGAATTGTCTTGGGACACTCTTAAGACTTGGAAACTGTCACGACTCTTGATTTCCCGATGCATGACGACCAGAAGGTAAAGGGAACAACGAAAAAAGTAGATAAAAAAGAAACTGGCTGACCGGAGAACCGGAAAAAAGCATTGGAATAGGACTGCAAGGCATGGGAAAGTCTGCATGTATTTTCAATACTATTCAATGAGGAAACTTGATAAAAAAATTTAATTTTAATCCAGTTGTTAAGTTAACATCAAAACCCTTGCGAAGTTGGCAGCACATAAATTTCTTTAACAATTGAATATAAACTTGCGGCTTTTCTTTCTCTTTTTATGCAGTTTCTGCAATTCCCTTGACAAACCGACCCGCCCACCCCTTCCCTGGTTTCCACATTCTAACCAGTTTTAGTTGCATTTAACAAACTAAGAGGCATCTTTTTCATTTGTCGCAAAAATGAAACGTGCTTTTTAAACATACTTAGAAGGAAAATTTTCTATTTCATCTACAAATTCTCTTTAAAGGGAAACCATAAGAACCACAACAAATCGTTTCAAAACTTGCCTACGTTTGACATGAGGGTCGGCTGGCCGATTGTCGTTCTTTTCCGCACCAACCACTTACCGTTTTCCATCATTCTTGATGCGAAAAAGATTGTCAGACCAAAATAATTATAAACATTGAAATGCTTACCGATGGCAAGATAAATCTACAGAATATCAATTAAATGTTTAATATTCTCTTCTCTGATCATGGAAAGGAAAACTGTGTAAAAAATTCAACTTGGAAAAAACGTAAACAAAGCGTGGAGCGATGAGAAAATGCCTGCTGTTAATAGGAAGTATTGCATATTTCATGGAATTTTCATCCAATTCGTATTTTAAAGGGGTTTCAATGCTTTTCTCCACCTGCCGATGGTGTGATGGGCAGCTGTGCCCTGTAAAGGGGGCCTTAACCTCTTAACTCCCAGATCAAATTTGTAATTCTCCATACCGCCAACCATACAATGTTAGATCATAGAATTAAGTATTGGACCAACTAATTATCCCCAAATCGATAATTTTCTTTACTCTCACTACTTATCTGGTTGAAATTGTATTGATATTGTACGGAGAAATTTTGTCTTGGTCACTCATGGGAGTTAAAGGGTTAAGGCGAAACCCAAACACGAGAGCCTTCTTCCAGGCTAAACAGACGGCGGTAGGAGGTCGAAGAGGTGGAAGTAAACCCCCAGTAACCTGCACCTGTAAAAACCCCTGATTTCACCTTAGAATAAATGCAGCATTAGAGAGATACGAGTTATCATAACTTCAAAGCCTTTCTTCTTACAACCAATACAGGCAGTAGACTGGCAGGAAAACATCGTCACTAAAGAGGGTTTTGTCTCAGTCGAGCATGATATGAGATTGGCGAACTGTGTGATGATTGTTAATTCAAGGGGGTGGCTGCTGCTGCTGCGGCTGCTGCTGTTGTTGTTGCTGCTTGTCCCACCACCAACCTCTTCCTTTTCCACCAGATTCAACAATTTCTGATTGCGCATTAAATGGAGGCATTTCTCCAGCCATTCCTGCGCTCACTCCTCTTCCCCTCCCTAAGCTTGCAGGGATGTCGCCAGGTTTGGCCAGGATAATTGGAGGAACCTGACCACCTGGTGCTTTGTCGAGACCTGGTCCTACTGGTAGACCTGTCATCTCTGGTGAGTGTGAACTGTATGGTTGCCCGTTAAACTGCATCTGTGGGGACTGAGGCATGCCAGGTATCTGTCCAGGAAGATTATGTGGATGCAATGCTCCGTGCATGGGAAGTCCTGTCGCTAATCCATCCGCACTGAGCGCCTCTAAGTCATTTCCGCCGTCACCACGTCCACGATTCATGATGGGAATGTCGTTTCCACCATCCCCTCCCTCTCGAACCTGACTAATATTTGTCGCCTTCTTCGGTTTTGTTGGTTGTTCCACATATCCAATGCTTCTGTCGTATTCTTTATCAACTTCTGCCGCCCAAGTCACATTTCGGGTACCAGCACCTCCGCCGCGTTTACCACGGGCACTCCAAAGACTGCCACGCCCACGTCTGCCAAGTTTGCCCATCTCCACACTGGATGGACCTCCAACCACGATCCGATCCTTGTCGTTGTAGCCACGCCCTGCTTTGTTACCTGACCAGCGAGCAATAGGAACACCGGCCACTTCTAGCTGGCCTCCCAATCCAGATACGGGCTGCCTACTGTTAGGGCCACGTCCACGCCTCAAGTTTGTGCCCATCGCTTGCATGTGATGTGGGATATTGGCTCCAGCTGGAAAGAAGTTTGGCACCGGAACACTTTGAAGTGCAGGCGGTACGGGGCCAAAAGCAAAAGGCACTGGTGTGGGGAGCAAGCCATCACCGCGATGACCTGGAAAATGTGGTAACAATCCAGCAGATGGCAGACCAGGGTTGAGACTAAAGTCTTGAGGTAAACCTTCCGTGATGCACCATCTCATTCTCTGAAGCTTTTCTACTCGTCCACTCTGAAAAGAAAATAACGATGGTTCATTTGTTCCAGACAATTTTTTTTTTCTGGGATTTCTGAGCTAAGCAAGTTAGGTCCAGAGACAAGTGGCCGGGTGAAAAAACGGCGATCGCCGGCTTCAATTGTGACCGGAAATCGCTCTGTAGAGCAAAACGAGTACTTCTGAGAATATCCACCTTAAGTCGATCAATATGCAACGATATCGTGCAATTGAAAAGACCTAAATGTAAGCCCAACTAAGCAGAGTATTAGTGACACAACCTCGAGTGAAATAAAAGAAAACGAAACGTTGTTTTGATCACTTGTTCATCGAGAATTACTTCCGTTTCGTGTGTCCACCACATTAAACACTGAAAGCTTAAAAGCCCTGCATTCAAAGCGTTGCGAATGACTGGGAACGAAATGTCCTTAATACGGACTTCTTTTTGAGGCGCCATCTTTGAGAAGACATATGGCCAATGCATCTCCCACGTATGCATAAACTTTCGCAATACTAAAGAGAAGGAAACATAAATATCTCCATTTAAAAGATACGCACAATTTTGTTTCAATAACTTCAATTGGAGAGAAAATCTGGACTAGACTATTCAGCATCAAAACCAAACCATTTCTATCTTAAGCTAAAATAGTTGCCATTTTGTTTTACCTTTCCATCACACAGCTCAAGAAGCGAGGCATTTTCTGTCACCATTAGATATTTGCTGTGGAAAAGTTTTCCATCAAAGTAATTCCATGGACAAACAAGTTCCCATGGGATAGGCACAGCACAAGCATCATTGGCGAAAATGGCAGCTTGAACACCGCGCATAAAAATGGAGGCAAGCTGCACTGCACGCGCATCTACGCGCTGGAGCTTGATTTCTCTTAAGTTCGAAGCATTGCACTCTGTTGTTAAATGAGGAGACAGAGATTGGGCGAGGAAAGCATCAAGCTCCCGTGCTGACAACACCAAACGGCCATGTGACATGAGATACCTGGTACACGAAAAGAGGACACACGTAAACATCAGTATAGAATATCACTTGAAGAAAAATGCAGTTGAACCCCTCGGTAACTCGAATTCCCCACTAACTCGAAGCAAAACTGATTTCCCTTGGATTTGCTTCATATATTTACTGTAATTTTAACCCCTATAACTCAAAACCTAGCTAACTCGAAATCCCGCTGACTCGAAACCTCGCTCACTCG